ATTACTTTCAATTCAAAGCATAGCATTTGGTGTCTCTCCTAGATCGGGAAATAACAAGGTTTCCAACTTCTCCATCATTGAAGAAGCCTGGTTAGCCTTACATCAAGAGGTAATCAGAGCATAGTCGGATTGACAATCAAGTGTTGCAACAAAAAGCAAAAGAAAGAATAATAACAAAAAGAAAAGAAAAAGACTCCTACATCAAAATTTGGAGTGCAAAAGAAAGAAAAGAAAAGAAGAAAATTCAAAGCAAAAAGAAGAAAAAGTTGCAAAGTACACTCAAAGAAATACACAAAACAATATGCCCAACAACAAACTAGAAGGAGGTATCATTGTTGTTTCTTGTGAAGGAAGATAGTAAGTGTTGCAACTTGAGTTGTAAGTTTTCTTCACTTTCTTTCTATTTCATTTCCTTATTATTTCATCTATTCTTATTCCATTACCTTATCATTTTCTTAACCTTTTCCATTATACCTCTACCATAACCATTTATATACCTAACCATTTCTTTTAAGCCGATGCATAAACTAAAGAGACTTGCTCAATCTTGAGTTAGTTCTTTAAAGGACCCACAAGAGAGAATTGAGTGGTAAAAGGCAAATGAGAGGGTGAGGTCAGAAGGGGGATCAGAAAAAAAAAAGCCAAGAACATATCCCCGAGTGCAAACACGAGTGATAGGGAGTGAAGTCTTAATTTTCTTTGGAGTGACCAAGTGAGGCTTTTGTGAGCGTGCTGGTAAGGTTTTAATTTTTTTTTTATACTAACAATGTCTTGTGATCTTCCATCTTTCCAAATATTGGAGGATGAACAGCAAAGAACAAACATTTTTCACACTCGTTATCATGTAAATGGTAAAGTGTGTCTTGTAGCTATTGATGGAGGAAGTTGTACAAACATTGCAAGCACATACATGGTCAAGAAGTTGGGACTTACAACATTCAAACATCCCAGCTCATATGTTTTGCAAGGATTAAATGAAGATGAATAGTTAAAGTCACAAAACAAGTTGTTATCCTGTTTTCAATTGGCAAATATCAAGATGAAGTTCTTTGTGATGTTGTACCAATGGATGCTGGACATATACTTTTGGGAAGATCGTAGCAATTCGACAGACGAACAATCCATGATGGGTTTATAAACAGATTTTCTATACCCATAATGGCAAGAAATTCACTTTGACGCCACTTTCTCCTAGTCAAGTGAATGAAGACCAACACCATTTGAATAAAAGAATGGAATCATTCAAAAACGTGAATCATTCAATTTGTGATGACAATGATGATTCAAAAGACACAATTTGTCAAGGGAAAGAGCCAAGAGACGTGAATCATAAAGGCTTAATGGACGTGACCCTTCAAGAGCATAAAATCGTGAATTTTCACGATCCAATGGATATGACTTTTGGGATGCCAAGGGACATGATCATTCAAAGCAACATGTCTTCAACATATATGATTTTTAACCAACCATCAAACACCAATATGAAGTACAATTTTCCTTAATTTTATTCAATCGTGTTTTTACATATGAGAGTTATCTTTCTTTTCAGGTCATGTACATTCAAAGAACTTATTCAAAGGAAATGACTTATGAAAAGAATCTTTTCATAAAGATCCCTGTTGCATCTATCGGATGGGAGGACACTAAGGAAAAGTCACCTTTTGATTTGAGGACAAATCACCCAAAAGAAGGGGAGGATGATGTGATCCTATCTAGCTCCAACTTTCTCCATGATTTGATCACACCATGGAGGTTATTCAAATCTGGTTCTAAGGGAGTTCTTTACTACTTTATCTTATATTTACTTATTTATGCACTATATATTATTATAAGCATATATTTGCATATTAGATTATACCTGAATTATCATAACTTATGCATTCATTCATTATATTGTTTGCATCATTGATTGATATTCAAGCATATAATCTATAGTTATAATAATAATATTCATTCATTATCATATGATGCATGAGTTATTATTATAATATATAGTTTATATCTTTATATTATAAGTTATTTACTTTAAATACTTAGCTTATATTATGCTTTCCTTTGTAGGTGCATATTTGGCCACATGATGGGAGCTAAATTTGAGCTTAACTAAGGATAAGGAGGTAGGAAAACTTACATAGGATGACTCAGGAGATCATGAAGAACAAATGGTGAAAAATTGTCAGCTGACCCCCGAGCTCATAGCTGACTTGAGCTGGACTTTTGAGCTAGCTAGAGACCTCATTTTAGCTGGAGACTTGGACCATCATCACCACCACACAAAGTACTTCAAATATGGTCAAGGTTAATTTTTGTGGATTCGTACCTTTTCACGAATAGTTGTCATTCCAAGAGGTGCCTTTTCACAAAGAGCTAGCCAAAGACTCATCTTCATGTAATTCACCTATAACCAGCTCATCTTCAGATCATACACATGGGAAGTAGCTTAAATGATGAAAGGTTACCTTACACACATGTGACCTTTCATGACAAGTTGCTGCCTATTGAAGACCATGACACCTAGACGCATGTTGGAAGCTAAGTCACGCCTAGTTGCTGCCTATCTTCATTCCATGGACTTCAAGACATCATCCTATGGTTGCAACCTCACCAAAGCATTGCAAGAAGACCCATGTGCATTCAAGTAGACTTCTATGTGCATCATTCAAGCATGTGCACTCCATGTGACATCAAATTGGCGCCAAAAGACCAAGGGATGCTTCCTATTCAGCCAGACTCTTTCCTCTTCATTTTGGTGCCCAAATAACATCCAAATGCATTCAAATCATCCTTAGAACCGAACCAACACATAACCATTCGGCCAAGAGCATGTATCTTCATTTAAATCATTTATTTTCATAAAAAATCATGTATTTTGAAAGGGGTTTGAACCTTGGTCGAACCATCAAGTGTTTATTCGACCTAAACCATTTGAAAACTATAAATAGGCTAGGCTATTTACATTGTAAGACAACCCTTTTATAAATTCAAAACTCTTTGTGAGATTATTCTCTATTCAAGTTCTTTTTAGAACTATATCGATTAAGTAAGCTTTTCTAAAGTTTGTGGTGTAAATCCCTTCCTTGATACTTCTGGTTCCTAGTTCATATAACTAGAGGGTCAAAGTCCTTACTACCATCCCTTATAAAACTTATAAGAAACGAGTCTTTGTTCTTTATAACATTGGTTCCTTCTTAGTTTTATAAGATACTATTTCCATCACCATCTTTCCATCACCATCAATCCTTAACCATAGTCCATCACCTTCACGCCAAACTCTATCACTATTCCATTACTATTTTGATTTCTTTATCCTTGAATTATTCTTCAATCATTAACAAGGCATACGTCTAACAACATTATTTGGAGGCCGAATTCATCAATCTTTGAAGGATTCTTCTACAATACTTCCACAACCACCTTTGATAATTTCTATCACTTTTATTTCTTCCATTTCCATTTCCTTTATTAATTATAAAATTACTTAATCAATTCTTCTTCTTTTGTGCAGATTACTTTCAATTCAAAGCGTAGCATTTTGTATCTCTCCTAGATCGGGAAACAACAAGGTTGCCAACTTCTCCATCATTGAAGAAGCCTGGTTAGCCTTACATCAATTATTCTATTTTGAAGTCATAGTTCCATGATTTTAAAGGTGATTTCAGATATGATTACCTCAATTCATCCACCATAACTGGGATATGATAACCAACTACGAGTTTACCCATCCATCGTCTTAGGTAAGAGGGTCTTTAAGCGTCATAGTTGGGCAGTGACATAGCTTTTAATCTAGTGGTCTAATTTGGGGAATAAAAATGATACGTGAAAGGATTATTCTATTTTGAACTCTTAGTTCCCCGATTTTGGACCTTGAGGACAAGGCTCAGTTGCATCAGGGGGTATTGTTATGGTTATGAGGGAGCTATAGAGGAGTTAGGGTTTAGGGTGAGAAGAATTAGGGATTTGAGGATTCTAGGAATAGTGGAATCCTTGCTGAAGATGATATAATTAGCCTTGGTGGAATGACGTCGCGTGGCTTAATTATTGGAACTGTGTCGTGTAGTTAACTAAGCAATAATGTTGGGCGTTGAGTAACGTGTTGTAGTCAAACCCAATAGTTGTAAATGATTAACTACTCTCCAAATATAGTTGACCCTATAATAAGTTCAATTGTGGAGTTAGTTGATAAATATAATCATATTGTAAATGATTAGGTATCTTGAATACACATAAATAAAATAATTGTTATGGTTATTGAGGGAATAGTGGAGGATCTAAGGTTAGGGGTGAGAAGAATTGGGGATTTGGAGATTTTGGGAATAGTGAAATACTTGCTGAAGATGATACAATTAACCTTGGTAAAAGGACGTCGCGGGTTTAAATACTGGAATGATTGTGTGTAGTTAACTGGATAGTAATGTTGGGCGTTGAGTAGCAGGCTCTAGTCAGGCCCAATAGATGTAAATAACGGACTGGTCTTCAAATATACTTAACCTTATAATCAGTTAAACATTGGAGTTTGTTGTATAAAATCTTACTCTTCAAATATTGTAATAGATTGAGTATCTTGAATACACGTAAATAAAATATTACTCTTCAATAATTAAGCCACGTGACTTCGTTCCACCAAGGTTAATCGTATCATCCCCAATTCTTTTTTGCCCTCAAAACCTTACTCCTCCATTACACCCTTCATAATGAAACAAACTCAAGATCTTCAAATCTATAAAATTCCTCGAACCCATAAAAGTGGTAAATTTTTGTCTAATTTCGTCGACTTTGAATAAGTTTCATGGAGAATTAGTCTTAGAAAAAGAAATATAACTATAATATGAATGTTTTGATATTGATCTTACCCAAAAAAATAATCTTATTTTGTCAATGTCGTCACATAATTTAAATTTCAATGATTCAACAGTATAATTGAAATAAAATCAAAAATTAATATTATAATTGAAAATTTTTAAAAATTAATCATATAAATGACACACCAATAAAGTTGAAAGTTGAGTGATATTTCTTTAACTGTAGAGGGAAAGAAAACCCTAATTTTGTCTCTGCCTTCCCAAGAGACGAAACCAAGGGGTATTTTGAAGGAAAAGAAATGCTTTTTTTACTTCAAAGCCGAACCAGAAGCTGGTGATTACACCATCTTCATGGGTCTTGATAAGTACGAGAAAGAGGAGCTCATCAAATACAGCTATGTTGAAGATATCTGGTAATTACTTACTTGATTTTCTTTCCAGATACATAGTAATTTTTTTTGTATTTATATTTCGCCATTGTTGCTATAATGAAAGAAAAATATGTTTATTTTCCCCTTTCCTCTTTTTGAATCATATCTGAATTTTGTTGATTGGATTTTTGCAGGTTTCATGTGGATAAAATGTCTTCTGCCCATGTTTATTTAAGACTTCAAAACGGTCAAACCATTGATGATATAACCGAAGGGTTGCTCGAAGATTGTGCTAAGCTTGTTAATGCAAATTCCATCCAATGTTTATTTTAATTTCATCATTTTTTGTAGAAAGTAATTTTAATATGTTTTACTTAAAAAATTATTAAGTTGCAATATATGTTTATTTTTATTTTCCATGTGAGTTTAGGCAACAAGGTAAACAGTACTGATGTTGTTTACACTCCATGGTCCAATTTGAAGAATACTCCTTCCATGAATGTTGGCCAAGTTGGCTTTTACAATTCCAAGTTTGTAAAACTTCTTTGTTACTTTGATTGTTGTCGCTATTACGATTTCTATTCTTTTTTTCCTTTTATTTTTTGGGTTCTATAATGGATCATTTTCTGATTTTATCATGTGATTTAGGTTCAGACTGTGAGAGTGGAGAAGCGGATAAACGAGATAGTTAACAGGTTGAATAAGACTAAAGTGGAAAGGAAACCTAATTTGAAAGGTATGTGAATTCTCGTGGTTCAATTTTCTGTAGGATTAACGATAGTATTATGATTGTTTCATTTCTGTCTTTTTCTAGTTTGCTTGGTGTACACAGTAATGTAGGTTTTGCCCTTTGCATCTTCAATAATACCACTCATTTAGTATGTTGAAGTTAGAATTCTTTTACTTTTTTATCTTTGATTATACTAATGCCATTAATATAATTGTTGCAGCCGAGAAAGAGACAGTTTATGCAGCAGAAAAAGCAGAGAAAAGCAACAGCAGAGGGAAAAAGTGAGCCCCTTTGTATTTTTTTCGTCTTATTTGGTCAATTTGATATTGGCTACATTAGCTTATGGTTTTCGGTATGCTATCGAACTTGAGCATTCTTACTGGTTATACTACTGAAAATAAAAGTTATACTACTCAATTTTGCTTAGGGTGAAAAAATAGTTATATTGTAGCACTCATGTAGCTGGGGAATGAGTGAGATGATCCATAAAGAATGAGGCAAAGGACATAAGTTTTCATTCAGTTAAATATATGTACAATGGCGCAGTTCTATATACATATTTGTAGAATTTTGCTAGCACGCGAATATATATATGCAAATATGTAGATTTTTGCTAGCACGCGAATATAATCATATTCCGGGGTCAGTGTGGCACAATGTTTGGACTTGTGTTCAACTCTTTTTGGGTGAATAGTATAAGTGTTGGGGTTAGAATTTCCTTTTTAGTGCTAAATGTAAAGTGCGTTTTAGAATTCATACTTTGATTTGAAATATGCAGACTATAATATAATCCTGTGTGCGCGCATGCACCCGTTTTTATGTCATGGTTGGAGAAGGAGATGAGGAAGGAGGAGAAGACGATCGGGGAGGTGAAGAGAGAATTGGGGAAAATGATAAACGAGGGTTAGGGATTGCTGAAGGAATTGGGATTGTTACCTGATGAAGTGAAGGTCACGTGAGGAGCACGGGTTCATTAAACCCAATTAATGTTTGAAGACCCAGCAGCCTTGAGCCCAACAGAGAAGTCCACCAGAGAAGCCTAAGATAATATGCAGTAACAGAATTAGTTAGAATCTAAGCCAGCTGGCTTGTTAGATTTTGTAGTACACGGTATAAAAATAATTGTACCTGGAAAAGGAAGGATTATGCATCATTTCATTGAAATGAATTCTGAATTTCTTAAACCTTTTCTGCTTCTCCTCTGAAATCTCTTTCTTTTCTCTTCTTCATTATCTCGTTCATCACAAATTGGTATCGAGAGCCTCGGTTCTGGCAAGCAAAGGGCATGACAAAGAAGAATCAAAACATGAATGAAGCTGATCTATCAGGCCTGCAGAAACAGATGGAGGATTTAACAGCATTAGTGAAGCAAGGAAGGGACGAGACTAATCCACCTAAGTGGTGGGAAGTGCAGGAAAACAGAATCACAGCAATGGAATCAAGAATGGCTACTAATCAAAGCTATGTTGAAGAGTTGTTGAAGATTCTAACAAGCAGGACGGGTGAGCAGGAAAATGTTGCTGGTGAACAAGTACAAACTTCTAATGCTTCTAAAAATGGAGAACAAAGTCCTATTTTGGTGACTGTGGTAAAAGATAAATCAAGATTCACTTAAAAACCGGATGAGTCTGGGATATTAAAAGCAAAACCTGATGATTGTGTGGTCTTAAAAAATGGGAATCAGTTAGGTGAAAATAGTGAATCTGGACCTAAATTATTGGGGTCTGAAACTGAAAGAAGAGGTCCAGGAAGTTCTTTTATAAGTTCAGGGTCTATGTGGCATAGGCCTAAAATTGAGTTGCCATTTTTTGAAGGGGTTAATCCTAGGGGGTGACTTCAAAAATGTCTTAAATATTTCTCTCTGTGTAATGTTCCTAATGAGCAGAGGATAGAAGTAGCCACTATGTACCTAACTGTGAAAGCAGAGGTTTGGTTTGATGGGTATATTATGCAGAAACATCATGTGACATGGCATGAATTTGAGGCAGATCTTTGCCATAGATTTTGTGATAGGTACTTTGCTGACATAGTTGAGGAATTATCAAAGTTAGTGCATAAGGGATCAGTAGAGGAATACCAGGACAGGTTTGAAGAATTGCAGCCTCATATGCTGTTACAGAATCCTACTATGGGTGAAGAGTTTTTTGTCTCTCTTTTTATTAGTGGATTAAGAGAAGATATCAAGCATAGAGTTAAGTTTTTGGAGCCAAAGACACTCTCTGAAGCTTGCAGACAAGCTAAACTATATGAGCTTTCTGTGGAAAATGAGAATAAAAGAGGGAGAATATTTTTTAGAAACCCACCCTACCCAAACCCATTACCTAGTACTAAACCTAATTTCTCAAATCCACAACAGAAAAGTTCAGCTAATCTTCCTCCAAAACATAATTTGTTGGAGTACAGGAGACAAGACAACCTATGTTATAAGTGTGGTGAAAAGTTCTCTCCAGGGCATCAATGTAAGATAAAGCAATTGAATAAGATGATTGAGGACGAACCTGTTTTATCTTCAGAAACTTTACCAAATGAGTTAGAACAGCAAGTGTTACAAGATGAGGAGAGCCTAGAAATTTCTATGAATGCTATCACTGGGTGTATTGGTCATAATACACTAAGGATTCAAGGCACTATTCTAGGCAGGCCATTGAACATATTAATTGACAGTGGTAGCACCCACAGTTTTTTAACACCTCAGTGGGCTGATGCAGGGATTCAGGTAACTACACCATATCCTTTAGCTATTACAGTGGCTAATGGACAACAGCTTTTCAGTACAGCTAGGTGTAACAGGGTGGAATGGCAAATGCAGGGACATTCTTTTATTCATGATTTTAGACTTCTGCAGTTAGGGGGAAGTGATATGGTCCTAGGTGTGGATTGGATGAAGTTAGTCAGTCCTATCTTAATGGACTTTAATAAACTGACACTCAGTTTTGTACATCAGGATGAACAGATTGTTATCAATGGCCAACAGCCCTCGAATTTTTTGCAACAGATTTCAGGAGCTACACTATTAAAGATGATAGTTTCAAATTCTGCTTTATTGGGGTATGCTGTTTTGATGAATATGACAGAAGGTTCAAGACCTACTCCTACAACTATTCAACCATTATTGGAAAAATACAATTCTATTTTTGCTGAGCCTACAGGTCTTCCACCTACAAGAACTCATGATCATACTATCACTTTAAAAGTCCTTTTGCTTCTCCATGCCTTCTCATTAAAAAGAAGGATGGTACTTGGAGGTTTTGTGTTGATTAAAGGCAGTTGAACAGCATGACAATTAAGGATAAATTTCCTATTCCTGTTGTTGAGGATTTATTGGATGAGCTACATGGGGCTGTCTACTTTTCAAAAATTGATCTAAGGTCAGGTTACTGGCAGATCAGAATTAAAGAGGAGGACATTTATAAAACAGCATTCCGAACTCATCAGGGTCATTATGAATTTAAGGTAATGCCCTTTGGGTTAACTAATGCTCCTGCAACATTTCAGGCTTTGATGAATGAATTATTTAGTTCATTCCTTAGGAAGTTTGTTTTGGTGTTTTTCGATGATATATTGGTTTACAGCAGTTCTATGACAGACCATATTCTGCATTTACAATTAGTTTTGGATGTTTTGCAAAGTAATCAACTATTTGCAAAACTATCTAAGTGTTTCTTTGGTCAGACCCAAGTAGAGTACTTGGGCCATATTATTTCAGCTGCTGGTGTTGCTACTGATCCTAGCAAGATAGAAGCAATGAGAAATTGGCCTTTACCTAAATCCTTAAAATCATTGAGGGGATTTTTTGGGGTTGACATGATATTATAGAAGATTTATAAAAGATTATGGGGCAATTAGTAAACCTTTGACTCAGATGCTGAAAAAGGATTGTTTTAAGTGGAACAGTGCAGCTTTGACTGCTTTTGAAGAACTGAAGAGAACTATGTGTCTGGCACCTGTGTTAGCTCTACCAGACTTTACTAAGATTTTTTTATTTAGAGACTGATGCTAGTTCTGGAGGCATAGGGGTTGTTTTATCACAAGAGGGCAGACCTATAGCATTTTTAAGTAAAGCTCTCAGTCAATGCCATTCTGCTATGTCTATTTATGAGAGGGAATACCTTGCTATTTTATTAGCAGTCTCCAAGTGGAGACACTATTTAGAGAGCAAACCTTTTATCATCAAAACTGATCATGAGCCTTTAAAATACTTATTGGAGCAGAAACTCACTACTGCTATTCAAAAAAGGGGGCTGACAAAATTATTGGGATTGGATTACACTATCCAATACAGGAAAGGTATATCCAATATTGTGGCAGATGCTTTATCCAGGCAATGGGAAGACCAAGCTCAGTGTCTTGTCATGGGAACTACTCTAGTTATTCCTACTTGGGTACAAGAAGTGGAAGAGAGTTACAAGGATGATTTATTGGCTACTGAGTGGATTTCTATTCTGACTGTGTCTCCTAATGCTGATTATAAGTGGAAATATTCCAAAGGAATTCTCATATTTCAAGACAGGGTCTATATTGGTACTAAAGGCTCTCTTAGGCTACAGATTCTTCAAACTTTACATGACTCACCTCATGGAGGTCATTCAGGAACTCAGGCCACTTATCAAAGAATTAGAAGTTACTTTTATTGGCCTAAACTTAAGGCAATGGTGGCTACTTATGTGAGGGTTTGTCCAGTATGTCAGCAAACTAAAGTGGAGCATGTTGCTAAACCTGGTTTACTTCAGCCACTGCCTATTCCTCAACAGGCCTGGGAAATTATCACTATGGATTTTATAGAAGGTTTACCTACTTCTTTGAAGAAGAACTGTATCTTAGTGGTGGTGGATAAGTTCACAAAATACAGTCATTTTGTGGCAATATCACATCCTTATACTGCTGCTGAAGTAGCTAAACTCTACTTAGACAACATTTATAAGTTGCATGGCCAACCTAAAGTGGCCATTTCAGACAGAGATAAAACCTTCACTAGTCTTTTTTGGAAAGAACTAATGAAGAAGTTAGGTACTAAGACTCTATTTAGTACTGCCTACCACCCAG